AAGATTTCTCAATATGATAAAAAATAATCTTAAATTCAGTTTTAAGTTGGAAGATGGAACTTTTTAAGAGCTGCATTAATCAAACTTACATATTAAATCTGAATTTAAGAATTTTCCACAAGACTGCTTGATCTTGAATCTTTAAGAAAAGACAGCCATCCAGGTTAACAACCGTGGAAATTTAGGCCTTATTCATTAATGTGAACTTGCTCAGTTCACTTGCTCCCTTGGGACAGACGTTTATGGAATCAAGCCCCAGGTTGAGAGCTTTCAAGCTCAAAGTCCGGGCTACCTTTCATAAGGGGCACTATATAAATGCAAGTTGTTGTTGTTGGCTAAGTCTCCACTGCAGTATCGAAGGTATATTGTCCGAGATGCTAACCAAAGCCCATCTGCTTCATAACACTATTAGAAAATAGAAGTGAGTTTTCCTAGTGTGGGGGGCAATGATCTGCCAAGTAAATTGATAATTCATCTCATGGTTATTTGGGAAACATTGCTGTGCATGTCATTGTTTCAAAAATGTCATTCTACAAAATATTATTAATAAAGTTAAAAAAAAGCAGTGTGGAATATCATACAATTACATAGATGATACAGCATGAAAACATACCATTTGTCCAACTAGTCCCATGTGAATGTTTATGTTCCACGTGAACCTCCACGCCTCCTCACCTCCTGTTCTTCTCTCCTGTGCCTCTCCATTCCCATCGCCCTTCTATATGTATTAAGTTTCCTCCAAATACGTGGATGCTTTTTTTGAGTTAGTTTTATGCAAGTCTGTGTTGTTTTTCCATCTATTTCTGCCAAATCTGTGCCAGCCTGACTCAGTTGGTAGTACTCTTGCCTCTGAGGCAGAAGAAACCCATGTTGGCACTTGGAACTCATAAGTTTACTCTGACATTCCTTTGGATGAGATAGTGGACGTTAAAGATCCTATGGCACTATTCAAAAAGCGAAGGAAGTTTCTCCTGGTGTGCTAGCCAATAAATCCCTCAAATAAAATTGGTCATTCACTTCATAAATGTTTGTGGGACATTTGATGCGTGCAAATTATCTACCATATTCATCCACAAAATATAGTCACATCACATTATAGTATATAATAATAATAATAATCCTTGCATTTGATATAGCGCTTTTTCACGTCTTCTTGATGTCTCAAAGCGCTTCACAGAATAGACTGTAAAGTGAATTGACTGTATACTTGTGGGTGAAACGTGGCAGCCAATTGCGCACAGCAGCGTCCCACAAACTTTCGTGGATTGAAAATGAACAATTTGCAGCATGATACAGCAAGAAAACATACCATTTGTTTTGTTTTGGAGGGATTATTATCAGGCGTGTGGAGTAAGGAAACTTGCCCAAGGTATCGCTCTGCCTGGAATTGAACCCAGGTGTCTGGCTTGCAAGGCGAGTGCTCTAACCACTGAGCTACAGGACTCCTGTATCATGTGAAGAGCTTTGGGACATCCGTGAAAGGCACTACAGGAAAAGTAAGGATTATTATTATACCTGAGGAGGTTTTGAGGCAAAAGTTTTAACTGCAATACGAGCCTGTACCACCAGACGGCGACAATTTTCTTTGTATTTGAGCAAAATCAGTTGTTGGAGCAAATGTCCGATAGAACAGTGACAGATTCTTCATGTTTGGCCTGTATTTGTCGTGTTGAACACAGATAATGGCACCATATTACAAATAAGTGGTATTACTGCAGCAACAGGAGGAAAGCACTAACGAAGTACTGAGACTTTGAATATTACTACAGTGTGGAACCTGCGAATATTTATTTTTATATCCTATTTTTATCGAAAAATAAATCATATCTTGCCCACAAAATATACAGCCAATTTACTTTACAGTATATTCTGTGAGACGCTTTGAGAAGTCTCGATGAAGTGATAAGGTGCTATATCATATGCAAGGATTATTATTATTATCTGTTTTTTAAATGAAAGTGTTTATTCCTCTGAACTTGTAATTTACTTATCTGTTTCAGCATTTCCTACAATAATGGCGGGCATCAAATAAACACATGAACCTGAATCAATCGAGTGAACAAATAATCATCTCAAGCAAAATAAGACACAATAAACCCAAGGTAAGAATGTTCCAGCTTGACTCTCATCTTGTTTGCTTGATACTTTACTTAACCGAGAGCCCAAGTAAGCTCGCTTGTAAACCACAGAAGTGCACTTTGTGAGAATTCTGCTCAGTGCCTGACAGTCAGATAAATTGTTTGCACAGATACTTTGTGGTTTAATTTATCTGAACACCAGTCTGACTGACTTTGCTGTCCACGCACCACAACAATGTTTTACTAACACTCCAAAGATACACAAGCCATATCTGTTGGCCAACGTATATCACATCAGGTCAGATCCAGAGGCAGACTGATGGGTTGCATGTCTTAGTCTAAGAAGACAATACGATTGTACATTATTAGCATTATCATGGCCTTTATTCTATTTATTAGTATTCCATAACCATTCAATGTTTTATGTGTTTGTGCCACTGTTCCATAAATTCCTGATCCCACAACTTTCCGAACTTCCGTGCATTGTCATGAACCTCATGTGATCTCACAGTAACACTTTCATGTTAGAAGCATGTTTTCCTATTCCATCTGCAGTGAAAGGGTAAAGATCTTCTCTAATTGTGGCCAATTCCTTCAGAACCTTGACAAACAAAACTGCTCCTTAATTGATACCAACCAGCATTAAATTTGCAGTTCACTCAGAAAGATCAAAGGGGTTACTTCTGCCTGACACGGAGATGTTACACCTGGCTGATCAATTCCCCCTGCATTTATTCAGCACCTTATCACATGGCAATGTGTCGGAATCATCAACATAAATGTAGGGGTGTTGGCAAGGACAAGCTCCAATTACTTTTCAAAGAACGTCATGGGTTCTTCAACATCCACCTGAAAAAGCAAAGACCTTGGTTCTACGTTTATTTTTCTGAAGAACAAAACCTCTAACAACGCAGGGCTCATTCCCCCCCCCCCCCACAACACTACACTGGAGTATCAGCTTAGACCATGAGCTCCAAGATCCCAATGTGGGCTTGAACGCTCAACCTTCTGATCCACAGGCCAGATCGCTACAAACTGAGATCAGACTGATGCCTGGATATGTTCAGTGGTTGTGTCTGAACGCAGAGTAAACAGTACTCTACAACTGATCTACCAGTGTTTCAGGCTGACACTCAGCGCCTGAGATGAGAATGTATTTCAATCCCCTAGGCTGACAAAAAAATCACACAAAATCTACCCTCTACCAAACTATCTTTAAACCTACAAAGTACTTGCAGGAAATCGTTCTTGAAGTCTACGTCCCAAATGTAATTCGTCCCAATTTATAGCTCAGATTGTATTTGCAAGATTCTGCAGCCTCTCTATTTTATTAGCTCACCATCTTTTAATAATAATAATAATAATCCTTACATTTGATATAGCACTTTTCACGTCGTGAGGACCTCCCAAAGCGCTTCACAGAACACACTGTAAAGTGAATTGACTGTATATTTGTGGGCGAACGCGGCAGCCAATTGCGCACAGCAATGTCCCACAAACAGTCATATGGATTGAAAATGACCAATTTATTATTGTTTTGCTTTTGGAGCGATTATTATTAGGCTCTGTGGGGAGTAAGGAAACTTGCCCAAGGTTTCGCCTTCTGCCTGGAATTGACCTCAGGTCTCTCACTTGCAAAGCGAGTGCTCTAACCACTGAGCTACAGGACTCCACGAATACACTTTGCACTGAATACACTGAAATGCAAATAACTGGCTCGGTTTGAAAGCATTGCATCTTTAATCAAATAATCTATGAGAGGAGAGCAGAATTATAATCAGTCTTTATTTGGGGACGGGGTGTTATCATTAACGACAGACATGGGGGAAATACCGTGGGGACAAATGGACTTGAATAAACTGGAACACCCTCAACTGGATGAGTGAATTCATGAACTTTGTGATCTTGGAGCTCATGGTCAAAGCTGATACTCCAGTGCAACAACTGCAACAACAAAGTACATTTGTATAGCGCCTCTCGCGTTGGGGTGGGGGACGTCCTAAAGCGCTGGACAGTCAAGGGTGTGCATCTGAGCTGGGAGTTGGGATCAGGTTGGGTGGAGGGCGGGGGAGGCTGGCGGAAGGAGGGTGACCTAAGGCACCGGTAAAGAGGAAGGTCTAGAGACGGGCAGTGCAGTACATTCCAGTGTATTCAGTATAAAAGACTATTTGCTGAGGTGCGAGCATTGGTGTCCTGGCTGTACTGTTAGCAGGAACCGATGAAAGAAGAGGGCAGACCAGGAGCCCCGCTTTCCTCAGCCTCTCTCCCTGTGAAGATCGGTCCAGACTGTGTTGCAGAAGGACATACAGTTTAATCAATGGGCGTCTTAACTTCCACCGAGGTTGTAAGTTCAAATCCAGCTCTGGCCAAACGGATGGAATCTAATTGTTGACTGACTGCTCGACTTCTGGTAGGCAAACACAATGAGCAAAAATAATTTAAACGTAACTTTGGGTTTCGCTCTTTTCGCTTTACTTTGCTCCAACTGATGTTAACGCCGACCCATTAACCGCCAATCGAAAGTCTCAAACAACTTTAGAGAAAAAAACGCCAGTGATTATCAGAGATCTTCCAGACCTGTGCATTGAGTTCAGGTGAAATTCAATGCACAGCTCTGCCGCATAAGTTGCTCTGTTATTTCATTCTACGTGTACCATTTCTCTCTGTGCGCTCTGAAAACTTTCAAAGATATATTTCTCAGCTGTAGCATGGGAACCAGAGCGATCTCTGGTGTGCAACGCGCCTGCAAAAGCCATCCGAGATATTGGACTACATCAATATCAGTTACCTCTGCGTTACAAGCGGAGGATGTTCATTGTGGTTACTGCCGGTGGGCGATAACTTTTCTCAGAATACTGCACTGACCAGAATAAGTAGGAACCACACGTAACCACTCGTGATAGAAAGGTAAGATCTGCAAGGAGTTGAGCAGGTCACCTCTCACACCCGCGCCTCTACAAGGGAGCGAACAACACACCAATTATGCTTCATCTGAGCGCCATCGCTTACTTGTGTCTCCACTTTCAAGTCGCAGGTAATTCATTCGCGAGTTAAACACCAGTTAACGTTGATATTCATACTCATTAACATTTACACGAATAATCGGTGTGTTTGATTATTTCTGCCCAGATTGTGCTGCCCCTGAGGTCAACCAGAGCCCTGCCTACCTCTCCATCTCTGAGGGAAAGACGGCCAATCTTAGTTGTGTCTACGCTGTTAACAAGTGCGAAGACATTATGATCAACTGGTTTTATAAGCCCCCAAATCAGGTAAACCTGACGTGCATTTTGTTCTCGGGCAACCCCAGAGGGAAAGCTTCCCATCGCCTCAGAAATATAACAGATACAGAACAAAACACAAATTGGTTATCGATAGAGAACCTTCAGCGTGAAGACAGCGGCACCTATTACTGTGTGTTGGAGATACTCACTCCACCTTTCAATAACGTCAGAGGAAATGGAAGCAGGTTGGTAGTAACAGGTGGGATTTTGTGTTGCTACATTTCAAAATATAAAAGCATTTAAAACTTAAAAAACATTGTAGAAGTGTTTATAGTGAGTGGGGTGGATTTATTCATTACAGCGGTGTTCAACGCATGGGCTCATCTAACATAAAATGGACCCAGTGAAGCGATACATCTTATATATTCAAGACATTGTCTATCTGTCGTTTGGAAAGCATTTAATGATGTCATTACCGAGTGTTCTGTGATTCTCAGGAAAGTGCCGGACCTGAGAATGTACAGTTACCTTCCAACTTCTTAAATGTTGTCTACTTTTCGAGCGGTCTCAATAAATGGTACATTTCACGGCCACCAAGACAAGTTGAATTATATATTATATGATATGTCTACGAATTAAATCCGAGTAATTAATGAGGTTATTGACCCGGTAAAGAAAGTAACAAAGAGTAACATGGCTTTAGCATTTGACATATTAGACCGCGGTCAATTATTTCCTCATCGTATAGAAATTCACATCAATCGGCGCCCAGTGTTTTGGTGCAACGAACTGCCAAAGTGGGGTTTGAAAACATTTTAGTTTTACCTGTGACTTGATCATTCATTAGAAGTTGTATTGCATCAATTAATGAAAGGTGTTAGGTTACATTTATTTGCCGGTAACTTATCTTCAAATATGGATGTTTTTTGTCTTTTTTTAGGACCGGAATCTCAGAAGGGTCAAGACTCTTGGAAGTGGCTCCTAGGATGTATACCAATGGTTTTTTTATTATTTTTATTGGTTATTTTCTGGCGCCGCAAAGCTCAACGTAGGTGCTATTTTTTGAATTGACAAACTCGGGCGTTAGGTTTCCAGTGAAAACACTTCAGCAAATTATTTTCCGAAAACAGCCGTAGGATTAGTTTGAAGTGATATTGACGTTGATATGTCTAATATATGACCACATTCACCATAGCTGGAAATGTCACGAATGATGCAAGTTATTTGATATGTAATAACGATGTTTATCACCCGCTCGAGTTAGAAGTTAATCAAGTCGCCGCGATCGCCTTACAGAATGCAAAGTCACTGCATTTTACAGTAAATACAGTGAAGCGCCTTGAGGCGCAATGCCGAAATGAAAGACGCTACATCAGATACAATGATTATTATTAAATGCAGATGAGAAAAATGCTGTTCAATTACCGTGTAGACTCTATCACGGCTTTCACGCGTTTATTCACTTACCTAAACGAAATGTTCTATAAACCTTTTGGTGACGCCAAAGACAAAGTCTTGCCTATCAGAAGTCTTGCAGTCAACAAATTCAAGAGTACCCCTCCATCTCCTTTATGTAACCAGGTGGCAAATGAATTGTCTTCTTCCATAAATTACCAACGACCCCACGACCTTCCATCACATTACTAAACACAACATTTATCGTTTTTTCATGGATATATTGGACACGATGGTAACGGTTCTGGCTAGAAATATCCATTTCATACCTTCTCCACTCTCTGATAGAAACCTTTCATCTTGAGTTGAGTCTCACTTAATAATAATAATAATAACAATAATAGTTGTTGCAATTGATAAAAGCGCCTCATCACGTCGTGGAAGTGTCTAAAGCGCTTCACAACATATAATGTACAGTGTATTTGAGGAGAAATAGAGGCTTTACCGAGGCTTATTTACCTTATAATCTCGCCTTCTTCATTCGCATCCCAAAATCATTAGGTTGTTTTCGTCTATCTCTATCACCTCCCCCCTCGTCATTCTTACCATCATCATTATCATCTATTATTATTATTATTATGGGAAAGACAGTTTCAGTTAAAATAAGTTCGGCTCTTCGAGTCTCTCTTCGTAACTCAGCATTTGCTCAGCAGTATTCGCTAACAGTTGTAGTTATCACAATTGTGATATATTCATTTCATTGAATGGAACCCAGGAAAACTTGAACTTTATTGGTTTATCTTCTCTTATCCTGAGTATAACCTTTCAGCCGCGAGAGGTTCATAATCTCAAATCTTCCCAAAAATCTCAGAGATACTGCAGTCGTCCCTTAACTATGAGCAGTTGGGATTCCTGAGCGGAATCCCACCCAGTGAACGCAATCATCACATTAACCTTCTGATATGATGAAGACCTCTGCAGTGTTTGCGGCAATTTAACGCTGATTTCCAGTATTTCAGCACCTGCAGATATCCCGTTTATTGCCTCGTAGTGAATGTGAAGAGCAGATTTCAATTGTTAAGGGAATGTTAGGGAATGTCCATCTCCTCCTTCCCGGCTTGTCCTTTAATGGTCAGTTTTCCTTTCTGCCTTTCCCTCTCAGATCTTCACTCCCAGCTATTGTGTACTTCCCCCATTCATAGATTCGCCTTTTATCCCCAATCTGATTGCCTTTTTTGTGTATGTTGAATATCGGCTTGAACACATTTATGTTGGTGACACAAGTCAAGTGCGATGATGATATATGTTTCGACCATAAAATATACAGCAAATTCACTTTAGAGTGTATTCTGTGAAACGATTTGAAGCGTCTCAAAGACTTGATGGCGTGCTATATGATATGCAAGGATTATTATTATTATTATAGTCTTATTATTTGTTTTGCAGTCCCAAGGAACACAATAATTGCATGTACGCCTTCATCTAATAAGAACCCCCCTCAGGTATTGTATTTGCTTTAATCATCATCGCTTTACGTTAGGTTAATGCATCTTGAGCTCCCATTTGTATTATGCGGAGGTTAATCCAAATAATAATAATTATTAATAATTAAAATAATGTTTTGGTCACTCAATCCACGACTGTTTGTCGCAAACTGCTGTGTGCAATTGGCTGGCGCTTTTCGCCTACCAAATACATAATTAATTCACTTTACAGTATATTCAGTATATTCACCATGATGGGAGAAAGCGCTATGTCAAATATAAGGATTATTATTAATAATAATAAGTTAAAATGAAGTAAAAACACAGTTTAATGTTACACAAGAGGTTTGGCACTTTCCCTCCCGTTTTCTCTCGCGTTCTAGTTTTCGAGATGGTATTTCTTTAAATTTGAGATGCAATATTGGGAAATATAGCACAGTGATGCAAGGCTAGTGGATTTATAAAATGCAAAACACTCGGTTTAGTTGTTTGTCCTTTGCCGATCTGAACTTTGATAATCACAATATGTAAGTTATGTCGAATATTTTACCAACCGTTACTATGCTCATGTTGGATTTTCAAGTTCTTGGCAATTTTATTCTGCAAACTCTTTAGAAGTATTAATATAAAGCATCCTAAAGGTACATAAAAATATTAAACCGTAAGTAAGATATATATTTACCGACAATTCAAAGCATTTTCTACCGAGCTTTGCAACCATGTGGTCCATAATAATATTTTTCATGTTTTATATTATTTATCGTTTGGGTTTCTAGCGTACTCCGTCGCCAAACAGGACGATATATGCAAGTTTAGCCTTTGTGGAAACGCCGGGAACACATCAGCCCATGTCAAACCCGGAGGATGCAAGCCCTGAGGCACAGCCTGGGATGAAGATACGCCTCCCATCTGTAACTATGGTAAGGCCTCATTTAATCGATGCACTTGTGTCTGCTTTTACTCCAGAGCACTGTAATTCCAGCGCCTCCCTCTGCAGCATTCCCAGTTGGCATTTTGTTATTTATTATTATTATTATTATTTAGCGTTCCATTCCAACAATCTATCTCTTGAATTTCCCTGTATAGCTGAGATGCGTGGATTCTCTTAAGCATGCTTGATGGGTTTCTGCACCTGTCAGACAACAGGCTGACCAAAAATAATTCCCAGCTCTTCCCTACACAAGGTGCAAAAATCTGCAGTCTTGTCCTCTCTCACAACGTCAGGCTCCACCATCCTATCACGCCCATCCTCTCTGGGATGCACTGGCTCTCCATTCCCCAGCGGGTCCAATTCAATATTCAGGTGTTCACTTCCAAATGATCTGAGCATGGTTTGGCTGTACTCTACCTCTGCAACCTCCTGGTTGCTATTGCCACAGCCAGCAAACTCCTCAACCAACCTTGGTCTGCTTCTTGTCCCCTGCCCATTTGCTCCATCACTAGTGGGCAAGCTTTCAACTATTCCACCCCCGGTCTCTGAAACTCTCTCCCTGAGTCCCCCCACCTTGCTCGCTCCTCCTCCCTTCAAAACCAGCCTTAAGACCAATCTCTTGGACCATGCTTCCAGCCACCCACACACCCCCTCCTCAACTCAGACACTGAGTTGTGTGAAGCAATTTGAGACCTCCTCTCTACCCGAAAGGTGCTCTATAAATGTAAATTGTTGACTACATACAAAGCAAATATCTGGCTTGGAACACTGTTCAGTTCGTGTCAATTAACGTCGACAAAACTTTGTTAATTAAATCTGGAAGAAACAGAGTAAAATATATCTTATTTAGATGATAAAAACAAAGAACATAGTGCGAATATAGGTATTAAATTGTTGGTGTCACGTTACAGCGAACGCACTTGGTCGCACATCAACAGATTTTTGTGGTTTTTCTCACCAATTCTCAGTGTTTCTCGATGTTATTTATATGGATGGTGAGCAGACTGATTGTGAACATTGCGATTCCAGGTGGAATATTCAGATCTGAAGAGCCGCACAGTACAGGCGGAGACACAGTGCCATCTGGAGAGGGAAACTATCTACTCCAAACTGCAGTTTTAGAGCAAGAGGAGCTTCAGGTATCAACTCTCCAGTCGGTAACTGCAGTATCAACTCCAGGCTTTACTCCCACCAGAACTGATGCCGTTTCTCAAATCAAATGTTTATTTTAACTAAGAATGATTTCTTGTCAAACCTCTCATTGGCTCTCTTCAGCATTTCCTATGTGATAAAAATTATCAATGTTCCTGCCCGAGTTTGTTCACATTGAAACACAGCAACCAGACAGTGATGGGTGCGGGCTATCGTTTTATTCTACGTTAAATGCACATTAAAGTTCCAATGATCCTCTGAGCTCTGTGTGGGTGTTTGTGGGGGGGAGAGAGAGAGAGAGAGACTTGCCGTTTTGTTTCACTTGATTTGGGTTGGAGAAAATTAACAAATCATCTTAGAATTAATACATTATTTTAAAACTAATAAGTCGGCTTAAAATTAATAAATTATCTTAAAATTAATGAATCATTTTAAAATTAATCAATCGTTTTAAAATTAACAAATCATCTGGTTTTACAGAGAAAACATTGGGTGGAATACGTTCAGTGGCGGGCGGGCCACCTAATTATTTTAACACACTTAATATTTTAGCTCTGATGACGCTCACTCCCAAAACTGGG